TAACAGGCCTCCCTCCTCTGAAGCCCATGCTTGCGCCTGACCTTGGCAAAGGTGTGCAGTCATTATGCAAGCTGATTTGGCCTCGGTCCCTGAACTCAGCCACGGGGACTGTACAAAGCCCATCTGAACAGCACTTCAAACTGAGGAAGGGCCTAGAACAAACACTAAATGACCAGGACACCCCTCTTGTGGCTCAGCAGATCCTACACGGACAGGCAGTAAGAAGCCCTGATGGTCAGCTCTTCAATGGTACCGTGACAATGACAGCGAAGTCCTCAGACAAACGTATGGTCAGGCGAGGACTGTTTACCTTCTTACAGCAAGAATGATTTGGGTGTACATTAAGATAATGAATAAACTCAACTCGTCTGTGTTTGGCGGGATGGTGTTTTGTTTTTTTACAACAGCTTGAGGAGTTCCCACGTGCCCCCATCCAGTTTCACGTATGTTAACATCCTACGTTACTATGACACATAAGAAACCAACACGTTACTTTCTGCACAGGGGACTGGTATTCCCTTTTTTCTGTCTGATGTCCCTGTTCCAGGGTCATGTTTCCTATGTAGTCACCATGTCTCCCCAGCCTGCTCTAGTCTGCACGAGTTTCGCAGGCATTCCTTGCATCTGATGACCTCAGCGGCTGTGAGGAGCACCAATCCCATGTTCTGGAGATGATCCAGGTAGAGGACAAAGCCCACAGTTGAGTTATCCCTGTGGTTTAAGGAGCTTATGGGTTTCAGCAGGAAGACCACCATTTGGCTTGGAATGTACACAACCCTTCCATCCCCCAAAGACCCACATGCTGAAGGGTTAGGCACTAGCTTGTGGGCTGGGATACCAGAAGGAAATTAGGTAAGGGGGTGGGGGGGTCAGCCATGATTTTGAAGGGGATTTTAGAACTCCAGGCCCATTCCTTCGTTCCTCCTCCCTCCCACTCTGCTGCCCTACTGTCGTGAGGTAAGCAGCCTCCACTAACAACCTGCCACGATGTTTGTTCAGGCTACCACTTTACTAAAGTAACACAGCCAGGGGACTATGAACAGAAATTGTGAGCCAAAGTCATCTTTTGTTCCTTTAGTTATTTACCTGAAATACTGTCGAAGAGGTAGGAGACTGGCTACACAACATGACATCATAATAGGTGTGCCTGCTATCTCCCACCACAGAAGAGGAGCTTAAAAATTATTTATTTTCAATATTATGCCTGCATGTATGCCTGTGCCATGTTTGTGTTCAGTGCCCACAGAGGCCAGAGAGGCCTTGGAGCGGCCATGTGGATGTTGGGAATTGAACCTGTGTCCTCTGGAGTATCAGCTAGTGCTCTTAACTGTTGAGCCTTCTCTCTAACCCTAGATGAGGAGCTTTGATTGACAGGTAGCATTTGTCAAGTTTGCTCACTATAAATATCCTTTGGGAGCCCTCTCTATAATCCACTCTTTGAAAGAAGTCCTTAGGAAGAACTATCCCCATCAATGACATGGGATTCTTCTTGAAGGGAAATACAGCTCATTTATTTCTATCAATCCAGGCTCCCAGACACTTGTTTTATAATTTGTTTATGATATAATTAACATCACTTACTCTGTTGTTCCAATTGTTCCAGTTGGTTCACAGAAGCAATTTTACGATGGTACCAGTGTCGTGAAACTCCCCTAATGTATTGCATTTTCAACACACCCATACTTTCTACTCCTTCAGAATGCTAAGGGTTGAACCACACCTTCCTAAAATTCTAATTTGTAGAAGTCCTAGGTCCCACTATCTCAGAATGTGACTGTATTTCAAATTTGTGTCATTGGGGAAGCTAAAGTCACGCTGGATTAAGGTGGGCTCTTACTCAAAAACGCTTAGTGTCCTCTTAAGAAAGACAAATTTAGAGAAAGTCATGTGAAGTATAAGACAAAGAAAGACAGGGGTGGTGCTCCAACAAGCCAGCGGATACCACAGCTAATCAGGAAGCCATCAGAACCAGGGGAGAGGCTAGGCAGATCTTCTCCAACAGCTCCAGAAGAAGCAAGCCCTGCTAACACCTCAGACTCCTGGCAACTAGGACTGTGAAGCAATATGTTTATGCTGTTTGACTCACTCAGCTGTGGTACTTTGTCAGGATGGCCTACGTAAATTAATACAAAGGCCAACAACCCCTAGCTCCCTGCATTTCAGGTAAAACACATGACTTGGTATAAAAAGAAAGAGGGTATTGAGGAGCATTCTAACAAAATCTTGGGAAACAGGTGCAGGTTGACATAATGCATTGTTTAGCATTCCTCTTGGATGTGAACAAGGTTTGGGGCAGTGTTTTCAGACGCCTTGATTTCCTCACAGAGCTTCCAGCCACCTGCATCGAAGTCCATTGCTGCTGCCAAGAACACCTGCGAGTGAGAGCAATAGCTGCCCTTCTGGTATAATCACCATCTTCCCAGCATGCCAAGCACCAGCTCTGGGGGGAGGGGGGGAGAGCCAAGCACTTCCCAGGCGCCCTTCACAGTGACTCCACACGGGGCTGACAATGATCCCTTGAGTCACGGCAGACCTGGCCAGATCAGGGTAACTCAGCATTTTGGTATCTGCTTATGACTGGCTGTTCCACCTTCCATCTTCCCAGAGTCGCGTCAACCAGTGGCCTGGTACATAGGAAGTCCTTGCCAACTATCGGGCATGGTGTAGCCTCAGTGTGATTTCACATACTGTAGACTCCCTGAGCAAACTCTTTCAAGGGCATGCAGACAGCTAGGGGCTTTCTGGAGTCAAACCATGGAAGAGACAGGCGGGAATCTCACCTGTCACCTCGCTCCCCATCCAGTGACCTCGATGGACTTGAAATCTAAGCGCTTGCATGAGTAACTAACAGGAAGCCACTGTGCCCTCCACCTTCAGTGAACTGGGGGAAAGGGAAGTTATTTTTACTGTAAAAACTCTGGTTCGTCTGCATTTTTATGCCCATGTTAAAACTCAAGGGAAGCCATTAGGCTATGCCCAGCTCACAGCACCTCTGGCCGGAGTATGTTCCACTTGCAACCCCCCCCCCCCGGGCTCTGTTATAATCCTTTAGATTATTAAATAATTGCAGCTTTCTCTTGGGGTCACATTTGGCAACTGTGTGGCCTATATGAGCCACTGACGCAACCCGGTGAATAACACTTACATTATTAACTTGCTAGAAGCAAACGGGTGTGACATACTTCTAGTGTAGAAATGAGGGAAACAAGGGGAGTGGGGGTCAGAAACTGCGGATATGGAAAATAGTTCAATAATTAGTACCAGGCTCCCCAAAACCCCATAGAGGAGCAATTCTTTACTCTGATCCCAGTTTCCATTTCAGGAGCGGTTGCAATCACAAGCAGAAAGCCAAGCATATGGCTTTGTCCTTCTGGACATTTCTACAATGTAGGCTAGGCTGCACTGGAAAATCCCATTTTTTCCTCCTACAGCTATATGACCTCAAGTTGTCATTTCAAATAAAGTATGCTTCCACTGATTTTTATGAACATAGACAAAAGCCGCTACAACCTTGGTCCCCTCCCACCACCACCCCCCACCCTCCCCAAGCCCCTAAAAAATACCCTTGTGAACCAACTGTAGTTGCTATGGAGGGTTATTTGTTTCTAAGGCAACAGCGTATATCTAAGTACTAATGGCCTGTCCTTTTGCCAGGCAACAAACAGCCTTGTGATGCAAGTGCACCTGTCTCGGCTACGCGTTACTATGGAGACACTCCAGTTGCCATGGCTACCATCACGCTAATCGCCTAGCAAAGGCAGACATACAGCAGTCTTCTCATAGAGCCCAGCTGCTTCCCCCGTCTCTTGCTGGAGACGGATTGTCTAGGGCCTGTGATGGAATGCACAAGAACTTCATTAATGCCACGTCAGAGGCTCACTTTGTGCGCCCTCCTGCAGAACAAACATCAGAACAGCAAAATCTGTAAGTGGACTGTAAAATTCTCCAGGCTTCGGACATCAGGCCATTCCCAATTAACATAAATGTCTGCTCCAGGGGCAATTCCTTTTAACTGGATAGTTACAAAAGTAACATTGCTACACGTCTTTTAGAATTTCTTGGTAGGGAACTGGAAAGATGGATGGCTGATTAAAAGCGCTGGCTGTTTTTCTAAAGGACCCAGGTTCAACTCCCGGCACTGACATAGCAGCTCAAACCATGTGTAATGCTAGTCCCAGAGGATGTGATGCCCTCTTCTAGCCTCCAGACACCAAGCATGCAAGTGTTACACAGACATAAATGCAAACAGAGCACCCAAACACACAAAGAAACAAAGTAACTTTCAAAAACTTTCTGGGTAGGGTTGACGACAAACCCAAGTATCATGAATAGCTGAGACTCCACACTTTGAAATCCGAAAGTCTTTGTTCTATACAGCCCTTTCTTCACACACTAGCATGCTTTTCAAATAGTGACAATCTACTTAACTCCCTCCCCACCCCCCCACCCCACATTATATGTTTGTAAAAACACACTCGTGACCTCAATCTCCTGACAAACAGACATGTGAGGAGGAAAAGTGGCCACTGGTCTCAAGGCAAACACTTAGTAACCACAACAAACCCATCACTCAGGAGCCTGTCTGCATGGAAACGGGATGACAACAAGCCAGAGAGCCTTCTCTCAACATCTGTATAGTCAGCTATGGGAACATGGAATCACCTGTTTGCCTTGCCGCTCTTATCCCAACAAAATATGACACACAGAGATATGGAAGCTGTCAACTTTCCTTTGTAAATGTTTCCACCTAGGAAGGCATTACCCTACCTACCGGGAAGACTCTGGAGACACACTCCGCTGGAGGAGCAGAAATGGTAAGGTTCCCAGGAAATACATCAATGGATGCCTCCTAATCACGCTTAATTTTTTTTACTCATTTATCTGCGGTTATGAAAATATCATACAGCCTACTAAATCAGTTTTAGAGCTTGATTCTTAAAGAATAACATAATTCCAGAAGACTTAAAAAAAAAAAAAATCGGAGAATCCAATTTACTTACCTTTGATAAGCCTGAGGGGTGGGAGGTGGGTGGTAAGGTGTCTTTTTCAAAGCCTGAATTAGATTTTGTCTATACTCTGGGTCTATGCACCACAATGACCCTTTCCCAATACTCTGCAAAGAAAAATTAAAATGAAAACATATCAATACAGTATTAGTAATTATATTATATTATTACAGTATTACATTAATACAGTACCGAGTATTTGATAGTAGGCAAATATATAGCTACGCTATAGTTAGTCTCAAAAGCCTGTTATTCCCAGACTTGAATGTTGTCCTGGCAACAGGACACCATAAAATGCTTGTCGCTGTCTTTGCACTGAGTCAGACACATCAGATGAAAGTGTTGCCACCAGATCATGCTGACACAATAACACAATGCTCATATCTGGACTACCCAAACACAAGAATCCTTATTTCCAGTATGAATTTGGAAGAAAATACACATTCTTTTCCAAAAGTCTACAATTTGGCTGGCATTCATGCTAACAGCACCGAGACAACCTCAACTCTCCATCTCTGCTCTAAAAGCCCCAGCTGTTTTAAACCGAGTTACACTGGTGTGATCTTACAGAAAGGTAAAGTAACCCACTCACTGATTTTGTTTCCCCCTAAACTTGCTCACAAAAGAACATTTATGCTTGGAATGGAATTTATAATTGCCTTCCTCCAAGAAACAAAAGACTTCAGGCAGCAATAGCAAACCTAAGCCAGAATCCAATGTATTTTTTTATTTTTATTTGTGGGGAGATGGGTCTTCAGTTCACAGCTATCTGATCCAGTCTCTAGGGATCTTCAGAAGAAGTCACACTTTAAAAAGTGTAAATTGGCTAAAACTGTCCCCTGGGGTGGGGATAGGAAGGGGAGACTGGAGCATCCCCTGAAGGCCACTTTTCCACTTGTCTGGGGGCAACTGGTCAAAGATGAGCAGATTGCTTTAAAATGGGTGGGGTGGGCCTTAAATGGTACCCCCTACCCACCCAACAGCAGCTTTCACTTCCCTGCTTTCAAGTGGGCCAGCATAGCCAAACCATTTGATAAGGTCATTTGTAAATATTTACTGCTTGGGAAAGAAAAGAAGCTAAATTACCCAGTCCTACATCCACCCAACACACACTTCCCTAGCAGTTTCCCTCATTGTCCTCCACAACTCTTCTCCAGGAAGCCTGGTGGTGTCTTCCAAAGTTTAGAAAAGCAAACAAGAAAACCTTTTAACTAACACAGGGAGAAAAGTACAAGAAAATCCCTCCAAAGGACCACTAAAGAAAGCTGAGCTGTTCCAAAACTCTTTGAAGAATACTTTCTTTTAACTCTTGTGTTATCACTTCACCAAATAGCCGTCTTACAAGACTTATGCATTCACAGCATGTGTTAAAATAATTCCCAAGGCTCAGGACCAGCAGTGCCAACTAGAATGAACTGTCTGCCGTGTACTGGGGATGAGAGGGTCCTACAAAGCCATGGCCTTGCACTATTTTAAGTCTGGCATAGTTGGAAGAGTTTGGCCCAGCCTTTCCAAGTAGAGCAGGCCCTGAATCCTCCATCTCTTGCTACGGAAAAAGCTGCCTGGTGTAGCTTAAAGCAAGCCATGAGGCGAGGAGTGGGCAGGTGTGGGGAGTTATCAAATTCCACTGAGTAAAAGAAGCCACCAAAGCAAGGTAGCTCTTCAGTAGCCTGATCCTCTCTATCAAAGGCACCCCCGGGCCAGGGAACCAGCACAGCTACCGGGAAAGCCATAACCAACATGCAATAGAAACACTTCTGCAAGGAGATGGTCCCAGCAGCAGGGGCCTAAGGGCCTTTGTTTACTTGATGGATTTCAAGGCAGGGCAATTTAATCTTTCACCTGAAAACACCCACAACAATGCAATCAGCCTTCTGGGGTAAGCAAGTATAAGCCAGGAATGTGGTTCTCCCAATCCCAACTCAAGTATCCTGCTTACGATGCTGTGATACTATTTAAAGATTAGATGGAATGAATCCCAGATTTGTGAAGAACAATCCCCCAGTAAGTGATCCAGCTCCTGAGAGGAAAGTTCAAAAAACCAGTCTGGGCAGTCTGCAGCCACATAACCATTCCTGTGTGGCCATGGACAAGTCCCGGTGCCAGTCAGAGTCTTTGCTCCCTCACTGGTGAGAGACAGGCAAACTCAGGGATGGTATGATATAAAACCCTAAAACAGTGGCCATGTCTGCAGGTACCAGAAAAGTAAGTGACAGGTTAAGGTACAAAAGAGATCTTAACAAAGAGACATGCCTGACTAGACATGTTCCATTTCATTAAGTCTCATGGGTTTTTTTAGTTCAACAGTGTCACGGTAGGGGTTCTTGAAAACTGAAGGGCTTCACATGTGTTGTGGTCTTGGCTGAAGAGTAAGTTGGTAAGATTCTTAGTATTCTAACCCCCTGTCACCTCCTAGGCACCACATACACCAAGCTCTGGCCACTCTAACTTCTTTATTTAGGAAGCAAACACCACTGACAACCCACCCAGCTTCTAGAACCTTCCTTTTGAGAAAAGGATCATGATCACCAAACTGACATTTCCAAATTTAGCAATCTCAGGCCTTGGCTCCTAAGAAATCCTAAGTTCCTCCTGTGGACTCCACTGAGGTCTGAAATTGCTAGTACTTTACATTTTAGGGAATTACATCGATGTTTTTCCGACCAAACAGGCGCTGACTGAAAGATAGTAAGATACATTAAAATGCAGCCATTCTAAAGAAGAACTCAGTGCAATGCTTCATGGGAATGCCCCCATGGGGGCCCTGTCAAGGCCTCTGATGGTTTTGAGGTAAAGCATCAAGTATAGACCTTGGGGTCCGGGGCAGTGGGAGAGGCCAGCACACCTCATTTCCAAGCCTTCTCTCTTTGGTTTCACGTGGCGACTCATGTGGTTTGGTTAAAAACTTCTGGAATGGAAAGGTACAGGGAAGAGAGTGTGCTCAAGTTTTAAAGGCCAGGAAAAATTATACTGAATGCCTCATACAGAAGGGGGTGTGATTTGATTATAGTTGTGTAATAAGTCGGAGTCAGAGCATTTATGGAAATCTCTGCCTGTTGTCTGAAGACAAGAATGCAGACCTTTCTAATGGAAAAAGCTGTGAGGCTCATGCACCATAAAATGTTAAAGAATTCAAAACAATAAAACATGTCACTTAGTGGTACATCTTCATTATATACACACATGTTTGTACATGTGTTATGTGACTGAGTACACACAGACAGACAGACAGACAGACACACACACACACACACACACAACCATACCCACAACAGAGTGGGAAAAATTAATGAAAAATGAGATTGTTTTTATATCTTTTTAATTAAAAAGTACCTGAGGAGACACTGACAACTCCATTGATGATGACGATGATGATGATAATATACAAGAGAAGAATGTTTGGGGCGGGACACAAAATGAAATTTGCCAGGAACAAGTCTGTTATCCCCCAAACTTGTGGACAAGTATGGGTGAAGGGAACCTTCTCTGCAGACTCATTATTACCACACATCCATGGCTCTGCAAAATGCACTTAGCATCAGCCTGAGATCCATCTTTTCAGGTTCAAATTCCTTTGCTAGACAGCAGAGAACTGCTGAGGAAAGGCATAATATGAGAGAGAGAGGGGGGAGGGAGGGAGGGAGAGAGAGAGGGAGGGAGGGAGGGAAGGAGGGAGGGAGGGAGAGAGAGAGAGAGGGAGGGAGGGAAGGAGGGAGGGAGGGAGAGAGAGAGAGAGGGAGGGAGGGAGGGAGGAAGAGAGAGAGAGGGAGGGAGGGAGGGAAGGAGGGAGGGAGGGAGAGAGAGAGAGGGAGGGAGGGAAGGAAGGAGGGAGAGAGCGGGAGGGAGGGAGGGAGGGAAGGAGGGAGGGTAAAGGTAATTCACTGTGAAAAGGGGTCAGAAAGGAACAAGGATGCCAGGGCCCTGCTCCATCTCCATCACTTTGCTCCTTACCCTAAGACAGAGTGTCAAGGCTGGCGGTTGGTCGGCAAGGCCCAGCAGCATGCCTTCCTCATTCTCACAGAGCCAGGCTAACTGGTGGGCATAGGCGCACGGCTGTCACTTATATGCACGCTGAGGTGTGACCCCGCTTCTTCATTCTCTGACCAGCTGGGCCATCTCTCAGCCGGGGGGGGGGGGGCATGTTTTAAAGTTTTTTTTTTTAAACTGTAAGCCAAGATCATGAAACCAATGTACTGGATCACAGCTAGGATTGTTTGAAAGGAACAGAATAGAATCTAACAGAAAAGAGCAGGAATATCTCTAGTAACATGCTGTGAGACGTTTGTGTGTTCATATGTACAATGCGTATGTGTGTTCTGGTCGCAAGGTCTAGCTGGGGTCTGGCTAATAGTGTTCTGCAAACATTGGTCTAAGACAACAGTGGCAGGGAATTTTAGGACTACAAACAACACAAAAAAAAAAAGGTGGCTGCCTTCATGAGGCTTATATTCATTGCAGAGAGGAAAATATACATGGTGGAAAAGTGAGCAGCCTGGATGGGGAAGGTAAATAAGAGTGACGAAGGTGACTGCTGTGTGAGGGGCCTGTGGACTGGAGGTGGCATGGGGGCTCGCACAGGGAAGTATAGATCAGATCCAGTATCCAGGTGTGATGCCCACAGGCAACTGAGTCACGTAAGGGCAGAGGAGGGCGAGCGGGAGGCTCAGGGGAGGGGGCAGGGGGAGGGGAGGAAGATGAGCAGGAGCAGGGGAAGCGGAGGGGGGGGGGGGAAGCAGCTTCAGGATTTATTTTAGAGAACTAGATGGACATGAGATGGATTCAAAGTGCCAGGCACAGGAAAGCAGCCGTCTGGTCTAACTAACCAAGTAGAAGACTCGAGGCGGGAAAACCAAACACACTGTTGAAAGCAAAACCTTTGTCCCTGTCTATTAAATGTACCGGCCATGGCATTGGTAAGAATTTACTGGGGATAGGAATGTAGCTCGGTTGGTTCATGAATTCCCCAAGCACTGCATTCGATCCCCACCCACCCCCATCCCTCCCCCTACTAAACAAAACCAGGTGTGCTGCTGGACACCTGGGATCCCAGCACTGGGGGGGGGGGGGAGACGCAGAACACCAAGGGATCGAGGTCTCCCTTTGGTAC